AGGTATGCTATCCCTCGATAACAACCGGTAAAAGCTAGTAACACAGGCTCATCCGGGTAACAGCAGTCGGCGCTGTACTCTTGCTTGAACTATTTTTTCTTGGTGGAAGCTTTGCGTCTGTTTAGCTAATAAAATATTAAAACTCGATTCAAAATGGTGTACAATTATTTAATTATGTCATCCTGGTATCGCGGACTCGCTCTCGTTTCATACAAACGCAGCTGCTGCCATTTTTGCTACGATTGTTTTGTACGCTGTAATGGATTATAAGAGAATTAACAAGATTTGAAAACATTTTCGTCTTAATTCTTTTATTGCCTTAATTATTTTTGTGGTGAAATGTTGTGTAATAAGTGGTGGGACTGCACCGTTTCCCTTAAATGCCCGTCTAGTTTGAGTTTGCCGCTTGCTCGCAACTGCTGTCTTCACGGAAGCTTTGCGTTCAGATATTTCAACTCAAATCAATATCTCACGTCTAATTATTTACTTATGTGGCAAGTAGCCGTGTAATAAGCGGTATAATGTACATCCAGCCGGTTGTTATCTCAGAATAGACCCCTTCAGGCTAATATAAGATATTCTGATATCCTGATCACCCTGTCGGGGTTTATTCTGAGATGACAACCAGCTGGATGTACATTATCCCTTACATAATAAATGTATACATTTTTTTTTGTTAAATTTTTTTTTTACACACTCAAATTTAACCAATTTCGATCAATCAGAATACTATAGACTTTTACCAGTCAAATTTTATGAGTATAAAAACAAAAGCATCTGACATGGCATTTATATTTATTTACACAGGCACACGTTATTAAAAAAAAAAAAAAAAAAAAAAAAAGCTTGTTACATGGTAGGGCTGCATTTTTGTGACATTATTGTCTGTCATTACTCTTGATGTTGTAGTAATGATTTCTAATGTTGATTATACTAGAGTACATTCAAGTAGCCGTGTAATAAGCGGTATAATGTACATCCAGCCGGTTGTTATCTCAGAATAGACCCCTTCAGGCTAATATAAGATATTCTGATATCCTGATCACCCTGTCGGGGTTTATTCTGAGATAACAACCAGCTGGATGAACATTATCCCTTACATATTAAATGTATAAATTTTTTTTTTTTTTTTTTTTACACACTCAAATTTAACCAATTTCGATCAATCAGAATACTATAGACTTTTACCAGTCAAATTTTATGAGTATAAAAACAAAAGCATCTGACATGGCATTTATATTTATTTACACAGGCACACGTTATTAAAAAAAAAAAAAAAAAAAAAAAAGCTTGTTACATGGTAGGGCTGCATTTTTGTGACATTATTGTCTGTCATTACTCTTGATGTTGTAGTAATGATTTCTAATGTTGATTATACTAGAGTACATTAGGCTTGCCGCGATAGACGTTGCTGACGGTGATACCGGTGTTAAGCCGCAACACTGGTTACGTCACTTGCCCACCGCGGCACCGACCCCCACCGTCGTTCAGATTTTTTATAGAAATAAACATAATTTAGTTCAGTAAAAGAACAGACACTACAATTAAAAACTGAACGCGGCTGCTCAATGCAGCGTGCCGAACGACAGTCGCATCACAGATCAGATTTCATTTCTCCAGCGAGGAGAGTGAGTCGAGAAGAGTGGGGTGAGGCGAGACAGACGAGACGATCGCGGATGATTTAGTTTCGAAACGAGATGCAAACGCGCCTGTTTGGCAATATTTTGGATTTTGAAAAGCCTGTTGACTTTTGCCGTTTATCTAAGGTGATTTTGGACGTTTTTTTAAACATTTGTTTCTTATTTAATTGGTTCCACATTGTTTGCAGATTTTTACTTTATTTAAACTGTCGTTTATTTATTTTTTTTACATCAAGGTGTATATGCCGTGCCTCCAAGCTTTCTTACTCGTTTTGCTAATAAACATTCTACGTTTCTTATTTATTTGGTTATGTATTATACATGTTTACTTCGCCTATTTCCAGTTTTGTATACCTATTTAAACTTTATGTAAGTTATTTGTCATTTTATATTAGGCGTAACCTGCCCTATAGCATGGTGTATTTGCATTCGTTTTGTTAATAAAAGTTCTATGTTTTATATATAGGCTAAAGTGAGTTTGATGTTGTATTTTGTTGTTGCGTTCAAGCAATTGATGCCGAACTGCCGCTAATTCGAAAGTGAAAGTAAAATGTGCACGGCGCTTTTAAACTATTTAAAAGCGAGGAAAAGAGAGGAAATTCAAACGAACAATTGCTTTACGCTGAATTGCCGCTATTTGAAAATGAAAGTAAAATGCGCACGCAGCTTTTACCAGCTATTTAAAAGCGAAGGAAAGCGAGGAAAAGAGGGAACGCCCCTGACCCCACGGTGATACCGGTATTATCGGTGTTGTCACACGTCGATTAACCGGTGGGAAAATTCCCTCTCCGTCACAACCCTAGAGTACATAATAGAATACATAAACATTTTTGTGTTTGGGGAAACATCATGTCACATTCTGGCTACACAGACAAAACAAGCTGAGAACCGTTTGTGAATTCATTTTTATTGCTTTTTTACACATTCAAAAATCAAGGCCAAATCGGTTATCTTAGTAGCGTGAAAAACACAATGGTTATTCAAGACTAGGAAACAATTATATACAGAAAGCTTGCAAAGAATGTCCGCTATCACTGAAGCAGCCAATGATCTGAGTTCTGCGCTCTTGCAAAAAAAATCCTGTTATAGACATCGAAGCCGTTTACACTGCAAAATAAATCTGCTTCCATTTGTATCTGAACTTTGTTTGTGAAGAATTCACGAGAGTGCAGAACGTTTTTTTTTCACAGTTGACTAAACGCCTCTGATTGCCCATTACTTCATAACTCAACAGAAACATGTGATTGGTTATAATGCTCAATGCTGCAAAAACTGCATAAAAAGAAATCTGATGCAATGTGAGCCGAAAAATCAGCATTTTCAGATCAAGTTTTGAATTCATGTTGACATTATCTTACTCGTGACATCCGTGTTCCCTTATCTTAAAATCGGGGGACGTTTTTGTTCATTTTTGTGGTGTACTGTCCCTGCTCAGTAGTCATTTATTTGTGGATTTAAGATTATTTGCCTGTTCATTTCTTTATAGAGAAAATGGTTTTCATTTCCTGCTGTAAGCTCTTGTTTTTTTTTCTGTTCCATAGTCGAGGAAAGCCTCTGTATTTATGTGAGGAGCGATACCGCGTTCTGGAGCAGCAGTGGGTCTCGCACACCTTCGACCATATCAACAAGCGCTGGGGTCCCCATTACAATGGACTTTAACAGTACAGCCCATAACCTGGAGAGGACAGGTCACATGATGCCAGTGCCAGCCTCTGGGACATCCTCTGATGATTTCTATCGTGTAATATAAAGAAAACCTGCATTGAGTTGGCCACAGCCTGGGTTCATGTGAAGTTTAGTGTACAATCAAGCCTATTGACTAACAGCGTGTGTGTGTGTGTGTGTGTGTGTGTGTGTGTGTGTGTGAGAGTGTGTTCAAAAGTGATTTTTCGTGTGGATTTATAGGGGGAGAATTTTGTTTTGTCCCAGCAAGCTCAAAGTGAAAGCACACTGAGTGAATCTGTGTCTAGTCTGTTGGACGCACAAGTGGAATAATACTCCCGTTCTGTAATGTTTGGAAAACTGAAATAGTTTTTGAGGAGAGAGATTCTTGAGGAAAAAAAACAAAACAAAAAATTTGACCAATGTCAAACAAATCATGTATAGATATCAGAATTAATATCAAAACCTTGAATGCTAAAAGGTACCAAGACTCTCAACATATCCACCCACCACCCCATGACCACATCATGCTATTTGAGCTGAAACGCATCTCATAAGACTGACTGTGGGGTCTAAAGCAGGGTATGAGACGAAATATCAACCGATTAGAGCTAAAGTGAGATTTCTCTCTGACTCGAGGTGTAGTTGCTGTCATCCTCAGGAATTTTATTTTATAATTTCTTTTTTTGTTTTGCTTGTAGTCTCAGATAAAATATTTTAATATTTAAGAAGTGCTGCTATTCATTGTTTGAATAAAGTAAATTATACCTTTGAAAATATATTTTTACCATTTTTTATTTTTTTTCCCCCTAATTAAGGCTGTGTTTTTGATGGTGGTTGGGTGGTCTGTTTAGTTTATTAAAATATTCCCCTGCAACCTTGTAGCACATTATATTTAATGGCTAGAGACAGAGCTAGTCTTTATATAATGATATGTGGCCCTTTCCCTGAGATAAAGGTCAACTAAAAATATATAAAACTTAATGCAAAAAAAAAAAAAAAAAAA